CCCCAATAAGTCAATAACCTTGGCGTTACATTTTCCCAACGTTTTATTTGCGCATTTTTATGACTGTAACCAGTAACACGTAAGCCTTTTTTCACCAAGTGGTATATCTCTACGTGATGTTATTTCCTGTCAAATATTTTATTTAAAATTAATTATATTTTAAAACTAAAAAAAATCGAAAATTTTCCGGATGAATTTAAAATTTGTCAATTATTGCAAAATAAAAATAATGTGATTATAAAAGAAGAAAAAAAAGAGAAAATAATATTTATTGAAGGTTGTTGGTAATACACTGTTCAATATGTTACGTTTGGGAGAATGTGAGATAGGAGATGATGATAAGCCGCTTACAAAACAGAAAATATTACAAGTGAAAATATTGAGTAATCCATTTAATGATATTATTCCACGAGAAAAGAAGAAAGATAAAAAGAAGAAGGAGAAAATTCGGGACAAAAAGGATGCTAAAAAGTGAATGTTTTGCAAATAAACTTTTCATGAAAGTAGAACTTTTTCTTAAGCCAAATATTTTACGAACACGGTAGTATAGTTTCAATAATTGACAATAATGACGGGGGTAATAAGTAGGGAAAAGGAAGTTAATAAATAGAACGAATTTAATAGTTTTAATGAAGAAATCGGTTTGAAACTACAAAATATTGGATTAATTCTTTCGCTGCATAGATTCCGGATCGATCAACCTCTTAGTTATCAATAAATTTGAACGAAAAAGTGCTCTCTGGGAATGGAGTGATACTTAAGTTTTAGCAGATATGATTTAAAAAAAACTGTTAACAACGAAGGACATTTCAAGTGAAAAAAAAATTTGACTTCTAACTTTCAGTAAATCCCTTCATGTTTAAGATAAATACGCCGGGATAAGACGCAAAGCAAAAATGAACTTTTACAGTTGCATATAGATAATTTTTCAGATATAGTCGTCAATAGATTAAATAATTGGGATTGTAGATTTTTTTTATTTCACTTTTTTTTTTCATTTTTTGGTATGAATATTTGAAATTTGGATTTTTCCAACTTGAATTTGTTCTTCATTTTTCCCCTTTTGATCTTCATAAGCTAAATCATAATTAACTGATTTTTCAGGAACCTTACACTTCTTTCGTTTGGCGATGAAGCCGAAGAAGACGAAATAGAGCTTCAGGAAGCGAATGAGGTTTGCTTATTTAGTCGTATTTCTAAATATTAATTTATAAATTTATTTAAAACAAGGAGCAGAACTAAAACAAGATTTGAACTGATTTTTTTTGTCTGTTAGGCGGTATAGCATGTAAGTTTTTAGAATTTAGCTGAATATTGATTAATGATAAAATAACTGCTGAACTGATGCAGCGAATGGCTTTGTATTATGCTTTACTGTGTAACGAATTTGTATTCCCTTACTATCTCGTTGATCATAATTTGGTTTAAATCCAGAGTAGTATGACCGAAAAATTATGACCCGCTACGTTTAGTGAGTCATAACGAAAGTTGTCGTGTGATGTCGGTGGTAGTACTACTCCACCTTGCATTTTTCTTTACCTTCTTATATTCCTTCCCTTTCTCTCATTCATCCATTTACTTTCTGCTTATCCTATTAAAAAAAATGCTTCTATAACTCCTGACATTTTGGTTCAGGATCTTCCTCCTCGGGTTTCAACATCCCAGTCTAAGCCGGTAGGCTTAATTGATTATATTAACTGATATTGTTATTATAAGTCGAAGGAAATAAATTTATTAAATAATATTAGAGGTACTACAGCAAGTTTTAAAATTGGAATGCACAAAAACTTTTAAGTTTGCTAGGAGAAAAGAAGGAAAGTGATAATTATGCGTAATAAAGTTGATCAAACAGATCAAATAAACAAAACAAAATCTTGAGAGAGGTGAACACACGTCTTGTCACTTGTTTTAGCCTTGCTTTTATTTAAAGTTATTTGTTATAATAGAACAATATCTTTATATTCATAACTTGTGTCATTCCTTGAATGTCGCAAATTTTATTTGCTGAATGTTTATAATATTTTTTTCCAGAAATTTAAATGTAAAAGTAAAAGTGCACATGATATATTAACTGATGAAACGCTTAGTAAAGAGTTGGCTGTTCCGATGGAAGAACTTATCGAACCGATCGAACCATCAAGTGTACGTCTAATATTGTTTTTCATTTCTGGTGTTATTTTTTATCTTCACTAAATAGGAATACAAATGGCAATTGTATATGTTTTTTTTTTTCTATTCAGTCATCGAATATCGAAGATACCGGGGAAAGAGAAGCACGAATGGAACGAATTAAGGAAAAATTGAGAAAGCGTAAGCGTAAAGCTAGCGATAGTGATCGAAATGATGAGGAAGATGAAGATTTCGAGGCAATGATTAAGCAAGAGATGAGTGACCGCCAAAAGCAGGAACTGTAAGTTAGATTTTTCCCATAGTATTGAAAATATTTTCGGTTTCATATCAACTGATAGGGAAGAAGACGTATGTTCTGTGTAATTCGTTAATTTCTTGCATTAACATTAGCTATTTCAGTGAGAAAATTACTGCGGAAGTAAAATTAGTGCAGAAAGATTTGAAAGCAATGCTGAAACCGAAGAAAGAAGAAGAAGAAATAGAAGGTTTTCATAAACATGTTATTTTCATGGGATATATTTGGTTCATTTGAATTCACTCGATATTTTACACTACGGGCGTTAAGTAACCATTTTTTTTATTGTTTGACTTTACTGTTTGAATTTCAAGTAAAAGTCGGTGAATTAGTCAGTTTTAGTGCTTGTGTGAAACGGATTTCGAATTTAGACTATGGTAAAAAGGATAATGGAAATTTTGGTTTCAGTAAGGTTTTAATCGCTAAAGTCGCTTTTTTTTAGAAGAAAAACTGCTAACAGAGGCAACAAAGAGACACCTCGAAATGAAACAAATGTTCAGGGAAAGTGCAAAAGTTAAGCTGAAATCTAAAGATCCACGACGACAAGATGAGGTAAGTTCATCTAGAATTTCTCGGCATTTCGGGATTATTTAAACATAAGAATCGGGATTTCATTTACAGTGTTATTTTCAGACTATGTCTATGCTTGAAAAAATTTTGGCAGAACACGAGGGTATGAAGTCATTCAATCCTGTAAGAGAGCGAAATCCGGAGAAAGAAAAGAAAAAAGAGGAAGAGCATGAAGTATCAGCTGGGAAGCTTAATTATGATAATGAAGAAGATTTAGATACCGCAGAAATGTAAGTTCGTAATATGTCGTAACCGTTAAATGAGTCATAACCGTTCCCGAAATTACAAACATATCTGAGAAATCTTCTCATTACTTAATGATTATATTCATTGGTCAAGGTTTAGATGAATAAAAGATAACTTCAACTAACGAAGTCTTGCTAATTAAGAATTTCAAGTCTCTTTCCAGTTAACGTCTGTCAGCCATCCCTTCTGACTATAAATTTTGTTTCAGCTTGGCGCATAAGTTTGTAGCACCCGAAGAGGATGGCAAAGTAAGCAAAGCGAAGGATGCAAATTTGCGAGAAGAAAGTGAAGATTGGTACGATATTACGGATCCGCGGAATAAAATAAATCAACGGAGAAGAGGAGTCGTATAGTTTTATTTTGATATGAGTGATGATCTTGTAAATATATGGATTCCTATATGGATTCCTTGATTCAGTTGTTTGCTTTTATGTAACTAATGAATGATAAATTATAATAGAAAACATTTGTAAAGTCGAAAAATAACACTGAATCCGCCTTAATGCTTTTTATTTTGAGCATTTGTTTCAGTTATATTGAATAATGGAACACTAATCGGTAAATATAACAACGAAATTCCATGAGTTCATGAAGCGAACATTTGTGTATACTCAATAAATTTATCTTTTATCCCATTATTATTAAAATTATTAGAAATCAAAAAATTGCAAATATTTTAAATAAGTATGAAATGTCAAAGTAATGTAAATGAAACACATACAAAAATATTCGATTAAAAGAGAAGGTTGTTGATATACATGAAAATGTGTACAAAATGGATAAAATGAAAATATCTTTGTATAAATATGATTCGTAGAAAATTGACGCAAAAGAAATTTCAAATTAAAATATCGAATCACAGCAAAACACATTTATGTAAAAATCGAACTATATGATTTAAAAATTTCGTTTTACTTCCAGGAATAAAAATATTTCATAAAAAAAAAAAAAACGCATATACAATGGTCGATCAATTTAATGATTTTAAACTAAGAATTGTGGAGTTGTTTCCAAAAGAAAAAAAACTCTAATGGAATTGGTAAGTGTTGGTAATTTTAATCCATCAATTAAACAGTGACAGGTAAGTTTCTTATTTCTGTCGCAAAAAAATTAACCAATGAAATTTCTATTTATAGTTTATCATCCATCTTTTTATCGGAACATTTCTTATAAGGAAAGAAAAATTTATGAATGTTCATTTTATTTCATTAATTTCATATTTTATAGCAACAAATTTTGCCTTCCTTCTTTAAATCAATTAAAAATTTATTTTCTCTTTTTCATACTAGTTTATGAATTTCAGTTATTAATTTGTTTTTTTTTCTCCCTCCGTTATTTTATTCTCATTTTTTTTCTTTATTTTCATTTCCAAAATAAGAAATCATCTATAGATTTGTTTGTTTTTAACAATGATTACTCTTAATGATAATAATAATAATAATAATAATAATAGTAATAATGATAATAATACATATGATGATAAAATGTGATAGAAAAATACGGACTAGAATATAATTAAAATTTTGATAGAAAATTAAAAAAAAAAGATGAAACAAAATAAATGAAAAACATATAATTTGGTTTTTAATTAATAAATAACACATTAGATAGGAATATTGTATTAATAAGTGTATAAACTATTCATCTGATCTAAAATGATTCGTTTAGTTTTCTCTTTTAATCTTTTTTGATTTTAATTTTAAACTCAATTAAAAGCTAGAAGAAATCAATTGATATGGGCAAATATTTATCCCATGTATTATTAATTAGTTAATAATTAAACTTCATTTATAAAAGATAACATTAAAGGAAAGTGTTGCATAAGATAAATTTGATAATAAAAAAAAAAGGAAAAGTATTACATTCGTACATTAATAAGATATTTACAGCAATGTGTTAATAATTGTTTGCCACCATTTGATATTGTCGATGAATTTTCCCTTAAATAAATAATTAATCAGTAATTAATGCAAATTAAGTATTTAATGAATTGAATTGATAGCATGAAAAAACTAACATGAATGTAAAATGCAAAATAACTAAATCGAAATAAGTAATATTGCTGAGAAGTAAAAATGGAAATATAATATAAGAATAGCCTCCGGCATCAATTAGTCTCCGTTAACCGGAAAACGGAAAATTATGGAATGGAATCGATGTATCAATAAAACTGAATAACAAAATGTCAGGTAAATGAAAATGAAAGTAATGGTTTTCCAAATCAAAATTCCAATCAAGTACCGTTTGAAGATTGATATAAATAAAATTTTGGTATTTAATCAGATGAAACATACAGATTTTGTCTTTTACCTTGTATAAATATCAAGACCGTACTGTCCATCTTCATAAAAGTCAATCTGAATCCTAACGATGTCACCACGGATGAATGTATGACAATGACCTTGCAGGTTACGATCGTCCACTCGATTCTTATGCAATGATGCCACAAATTCTGCCAACGGTTTCATCATTCTGAATAATGATATTATTATTAAAATTATTATTAGATAAAAACAACCACAAATAATAATAATTAATAATGATAATAATTAATAATTAATAATAATAATAATAATAATAATAATAATAATAATAATAATAATAATAATAATAATAATAATAATAATAATAATAATAATAATAATAATAATAATAATAATAATAATAATAATAATAATAATAATAATAATAATAATAATAATAATAATAATAATAATAATAATAATAATAATAATAATAATAATAATAATAATAATAATAATAATAATAATAATAATAA